TTTTTTTTTTAAATCTTTTTGAAATGACGTTTTGTGATAGATGTCATGATAGTAATGATAACTTCTACATTTAGCATACATTTCTTGCCATATTAAGTTTGTATGGTAATTTACATGTTTTTGCATTTTTATGTGTTTGTTTTGGGTTCACTGTTGTTGGCATAGCGTATGTTTGCCTAGCGGCTACTCATTGCTCATGAGATATTATCCTTCAAACTAAATTGAACATTGGATGTCTTCTGTTATTCTTCTACACATGTTTTGAAGTGTATTGAGGCAACTTGATGATAGGCTGTTGTTAAAGCAACGTTTTGTCAAAACTTGGAACTTTTTGTGCATGTGTGCGTGTGTGTGTTTTTTTCCTGTTGTTTTCCTCTCTTCATATTTTATAATTAATTCGAGCCTTATCCCGTATTCCTATTTAATTGGCTATTTCCTGCATGGATTAGCAGAATTATTATTCGATGTTGGTCCATCTTCTGTGGTGCCAATCATTTTGTGGACATGGAACTTGATCTGAAAACTTGTTTCTTTGGATGATACATTTCTCATTAAGCATTTTTTAATTATTGTCGTCTTACATTTTTCTTTGATTTTGTTTGGGGTTTTGGATGAAGAAGGTGCTTTCAGATCTAGTATACCATAACAGGATTTGGTCTTCAAGTTAAAATCTGGTGTTTATGGAACTGTTGTACTCAAAAAACTTCTGATTCTCGTGCAGGAGGGTTTAACTGCTGAGGAAATTGTGAGCAGGCAGCCCGAGGAGCCTGGACACATTCAGGTTCTTATTTCTTAAGTTCAACTTGCTCTTTATTTATTTATTTTTTTGGTGGTCGTAATTTGAATATCAAATTCTCTATCAAGCCATGAAAAAAATTCACTTTTGTAACATGGCAATTGAAATGTATATGATTTGAAGTCTTGAGTTTTCATTTTCTCTTAAATGGGTGTTCTGTATGTTGGGGGTCAGATGACTGATGCTCGTTGTTCGAGATGCTCGCTAAAACAAGTGGCTCTGGTTGAGGTATTTCAGACGGGACATGGTGACCGCTATAAGGTTTCTAACCTTAAAGCTTTGCTTATTACAAGTTGCGGTTTCGCAATTTCATTTTTTTAATGTTTTAATAACCCTTTCTTTCCCTTTTCTTTTTGCCTTTTGTTCTTTTGTGGGGGATTTTGTTTGTCAGCTGGAATGTGTTCCTTGTGGCTATTCCTGGTTTGCTTCCGGATATGATGCCGCCACATTGACAATAGAAGCGCCGAGTTCTGCAAAGGCGGTGGGGACCGCACCTTTGGCCACGGCTAAGTTCGAAAATGTCGAGAAAAACTTGGTCAGTCCACGTGGAGGTGAGAGTGAGAGAGAAACAAAACAGCCATTGGATTAAAGAAAACTACATTTGCATATCTGCCAGTGCTGGGAATTTAGAAATCTTTCGACAAAAAGGCCGATAAAAAACAAGCGGTCAAATAATACGTCGAGTTTTTGTACGTCCCATCTCTGTAAGTCACTTGATACTCCTTTTAATTTACATTTTGTCTGGAAAATGCTAATGCATACTTGCAGGGTAGGGGAGACTTAGTGTAGCTGTGTAGGGAAGATGGCACATTTGGTGAAGATGATATAGTTTAACTGAGAATATGAATAGTGTTTTGTTTACTGTATTTTGGTATTTTTTGGATGGAGGGGAATGGAGATATAGGGGGGTGTATTAATTTATGATTCTAAAAGACTTTTTAGGATTTTATTGAGAATATGATTTTATGGGATTTTATCAGATTTTATGGATTTTTCAGAATTTATTAGAAATCCCCAAAAGTGACATGTAAGTTTCTGCAGGACTTTTACAGATTTCTTAGAACTTTTCAAGAATTTTGTAGACTTTTATTATTAATTAAATAAACATCAACATTAATATATAAATATACCATTGTGAGAACTTGTGACAATATTTATACATAAAAGAAAATAAAAATCATTTTGAAAACGAGAAATGTGAATTTTCTATTTATTGTTTATTTATTTATCGTTTTGTACAAAAATGTCAAATTTGTTATAATTTTTTATTCTATTCAATAAACCACATAATCTCCAAGACATACAATAACTATATTTTTTTTTATCTCACTTATAATTTTCTATTCTATCAAATCAACCACATAATCTAGAGAAATAATTATAATTTTGACTGACAACAATAATAACAATTATATTAATTTGGAACACATATTATGCCCGTTCTATAAAATTGTGTGGAAAATTAAAATATTGAAAAATATAATGTAAAAAAAATCAATAAGGTGCAAATCTGATGAACATAAAAGTTGCGTCTCATATGTTTCATATAAAATAAAAATATAAGCAAGTCCAATTTCTACTTTATAACATCGTTCCACATTTCAGTTGCTATTGCATCCCTCCATGCATTAGCGGTCGCTCTTTGTTGTTCTTGACTTTCAAAAAATGGACCAAAATTATTATCTCCTTCGGTTATTGGACAAGATTGACCTGTTTCTTGTTCAGGTTCTGCTGGAAATTCATCAGAGCGACATTCTTTTCGTAAAAAGTTATGTAACCCTGCACATGCTAATACCAACTCTGCTTGCGTATGAAACGGAAATGGAGGTGCCGATTTAAATATCACAAACCTTGATTTGAATATACCAAATATCCTCTCAACTACATTCCTTAATGAAGAATGCCTGAGATTAAACAGTTCATTGGCATCGCTTGGGTCACGACCTTGACCTGTAAAATCATTAAGATGGTAGCGAGTCCCTCGATATGGAGTAAGGAACTGTCGCCTATTTTGATATCCACAATCAGCCAATAAGTACTTTCCTGCAAATAAAATATATAATTATCTCATGCTTGTGACATTTAATAACAATGCATTAAAGAAATATGAAATGAAAGAGAAAAATATGAATTCATACCATCAGGAATTTTGAGTCCATTTCTTCTTGTTAACGCATCTGTCAAAATTTTTGAATCATGAGCTGAACCCTCCCACCCACTGAGCACATATATAAACTCCAGATCAAAGTTACAAGCAGCTAAAACATTTTGCGAAATTTGTCCATGCCGATTCCGATAACTGCTTGTATCATGTCCTATTACCATTGCTGGAATATGTGTACCATCAATAGCCCCAATGCAGTCCTAAAATTTTTAAAATTTTCAACATTAGAAAACAATATAATAATATTATAAAAAAGTAAATAATGTTATTACTTACTTTAAAGTACGGATAAAATCGTGTACTTTCTCTTATTTTCTGGGGAATTGTAGACCCTGGCTTAGCCAACATATCTACAGCGTATTTGGTTAGTGCCTTTAACACCTTGTTGAAATTCTGGCTGGTGGTGAAATGTGATCGACAAAATACTTGTCGTACTTGACAGTATCGATTATTTCGCCCAACAATAAGTAGGAATGTCGCAAGCATTTCCTCAACAGAAACAAATCTTGTGTCGCTCAAGAGTTGTTTCTCTCTAATTATACGACATAATTTCAAGAATACATCGGGGTACATTCTATAGACCTCTCGGAAATTGTTGGAACCTTCCCCAAGTATTTTATGTATATAATCATAACCATCTATGGTTTTTGGTCTTCTGCTTAATGAGTAATTAACATGATTGTGGCACATATTGACCATAAGCACATTTGCCATGTAAAAAACTGCTTGAATGAGCAAGTATGAATACCGAATGTATTTATATAACTCTTCTCTCCTGTCATCTTCTTCAACTTCATCTATGTCCATTAGATCATCTTCGCGCATATCAGTATCAGACATTATGCGACCTGTAATAATTACTAAGGGATTAAACAATATAAATCTGATAAAATCCCATAAAATCTGATAAAATCCCATAAAATCATATTCTCAATAAAATCCTAAAAAGTCTTTTAGACTCATAAATTAATACACCCCCCTTGGCATAAGCTCATGATACTTGGCATATTGTTTCTTAAAATATTTCACTCGACTTATGTATTGATTGTAAGTCCGGGCGATCCCTAACTTTTCATTCAAAGGTTTTAGTATAT